ATCTTGAAAACAGAATGTGTACTGTATGGTTTAATTTTAAATTAATAAATTTATTGTTATACACAGTTGTGGCTCCAAGATGGATTCTCAACAGGGGGGGGGGGCTCACCTCATCTCCTTACTTGATAATACCATAATACATATTTATTGATTAAAAGGGTACAGTACATGCTTAGAGTATTTTCTTTCAATATCAAATTAATCACAAATAAATAGCAATTTTTTTATGAATACGGTTTCTAAAATCCTACAGCTTTTGGGAGGGACCTAATTTGAACTAAATTAGCGCGCATTGGAAAGTTAAAACTCTGGAATATGATAATGGCACTAAGAGCTCTTTAAATTTCGAAATACATTGTACAATAAAAAAAATATATTTTCATTAAATATTTGTTATCTTTTATCGTTATTAAATATATGTCATGCCAGATGTTTTGAAGAATTAATTTAGTGAATTACGATGACAGAATGGACAAATAAGAAGAAACTTGCCTCAATGTTGTATTGACTTGTAGAGCAGATCTAACTTTTGTCAAGAATTATACCTAAATATTTGGAGACTATTAAGATAATTTAAACATTATATTGAAGGGAAATGGCGTCACTGGTCTTACTGTTTATCACTCACATTGAAACACTACTTTCATAAAGAACTGTATTCTAAACCATCACCTCATATATTCACAAATCTTACATTGAAGACACTGTTTGATTGTATACTAGTGTACATGTTGCTCGAAATCGAGCAATTGCAAAGAAGTAAAGTAGTTATTTAAAAACAAATAACTTATTTAAAAACGAATAAAAGTCATAATTTCCAATCAGTTTAAAAGACAACTCATAGATTAAGTACCTAACAGTTCTATATAATAAACATTTCTCGTAAATATTTGATCATTTTTCATAAGCTGATATGGTTTTTAGTGTACTGTATTCTACAAATGTTTCCCACTTAAGCCGCATTAGGTTGCCCATGCCCATGTTGATTTTCGTCAATGATATTGTAGTCAGCATGGTACTACCCATTGTCGCCAGTACGTTACTTTACAAATTTTAGTCATTTTTTGTAGTACGGTAATAAAATTTTGTTTACATTACTTAAGAACTACCTGATTTTCTGCATAACCTCTCTGTTGCAATTTTATTTGCTTCAATTGGCATTAATTTGGCTTGTTACTATTATAAAGTAAGTTATATTTACCTTAAAAAAATTCAGAATTGAAAGGGTTCAGATTGTTTTTTGTTTCCCTTGAATGTGAATAACAATGTGAATAATGCGAATCCTTCAATGAAAGTTGTATTAGGTAAGGTTTCTTGGATGTAGTAATATTATTTTAAAATAACTTGAATTTTATGAGAGCATATATTTAATATCCTTGATGTACCAGTTTAATTCAGCCTTAGAGGGGTTTCCTTTGCCAAACATTATAAAGTTAAGTCCGTGTTTCCTACAAAAAAGTAGCACTTCAGCTAACATCCTTGTTTATTGTTTGTGGGAATCTTCATATTGTAGGTGTTCTTCATTATATAGGATGATAACAATAGTAGTTTTTTTTATTTAATCTCTGTTTCTTCTACTTGGTGGCGTTCTATTACTTTCCTATGTTTCCATGGTCAACAAATCGGTTCTTTCAATGATTGCTCAAGAATTACAGTATCCTGTCAATTAATTTTTCTTATTTGGTAAAATATATCAAATTGCCCTGGCTTAAAATATATCAATTTTTTACATTGTAATATGTACGAACTTAAATTAAAATAGTAAATATTTAATTTCAACAAAATCAGTAAATGTACCCAATGCGTTTCGTTGAATTGAAAAATAAATAACAGCAACTAAATTATACAGCTGATTAAAATGTAAAAAATTATGTTCTTCATAAGGATAATATGGGAACTTTCAAAGCCACTGGGGCAGAGCCAAAGGGACTTTTTCAAAAATGTAAGGCCAGTTTGCAAATCTATGTGACACGCTCTTTCGATTGAGACGTCAATGGATAAAATCGCGTCGGCGATGGTGCGATTGGATTCCTCACCCCCAAAAATAGGGGATATTCATTATTTTTGTACTGCTTTAACGACATATTCTCCAAAGCTATATACATTTAATAAAAGGGGGGGGAGGGTCTGCCCCTAACAGGACAAGGGGGAAGTATAAGTGTTAAAAAAGGATGTATTTGTATGGAGGATAATATAATAAATAAATGCAGATGGAAAACAATATATTTTATTCAAAGAATATCTTTCCCCCCTTGTAATTAGAGAGGGGGAAGGGGTCGTAGGGGGACGGCGATGGTCCCATCGAATTCCTCGCCCCAAAAATAGGAGGGGTATATGGTTTATACTGCTGTAGATACAAAACTGGAGAAAACCCCTGAAAGGGATCAAATGTTTGAAAAAATTTCCCCGTATAGGGATAAATAACGTTTAAAAATTCCCACTCCCCAGAGCCATACACCTACCATTGTTTCAATGTTGACTTAGAGAACATATAGGATAGTTCATTGAACTTTTATTATTTAATCAGCTGCAAGATCATCAGCAGGTAGATTTTTGATAGCTCGAAACTGGAGTAAGCTGTCATTTACTTTGAATTTCCTATCCTTTCAAGTATAGTACTCTAAAAATAATACACTTAAACATTTTACGAGTACTCATATTTCCGAGTAACATCAAAAACATAACTCTTGTCCAAAAAATATACAATATTCCAAGTATTCTAATATTCCACATTGTGTTTCCAAGTCCTGACATATCCGAGCAGTACAGAGAAAAAACGGACTTTTCTTCTGTGATAGAACGCTTAAAGTAGTAGAAATTTGATGCTGATGGTTATATCAAGTGTCGGGATTGGTTTATACAATTCATCTCTTTGGGAGATATATTTGCTCTTTATGGATGATGTTTCTATATTTGGGCTCATTCGTTGATTGAGGGCCAAAGGACAAAGTGTTTCATAAATCATGATGTATTTAGGAATAAAAGAATGGTTAGTTGCGAGTTTGCTCGTGGCGTGCCTCTGGGGTCAGTCCTCGGTCCGGTGTTGTTCCTTGTCTTTGTGAACGATCTTCTATCAATTGTAAATTCTGGAAACATTTCTCTGCTTGCTGATAATACGTCGCTCTCGGTTTCTGATCAAAATTTCGATGAACTCGAAATAAAGGCCTTTTTGCAAGCGAGCTCCATGATGCAGTGGTTTGAGGACAACTCATTGAGTCTAAATGTCAGAAAAACTGAATTTGTAAATTTTTCTATAAGTTCAGCTGGGGGAAAAAAAAACAATTTCCTTTTGAATTATGTTGAGCTCGAGGCAACTGATCAGGTTAAGTTCTTGGGATTGGTGCTCGATAGAAACATGCGCTTTCATTCCCATATTGACACTGAGTGTAGAAGGATTTCTTCGGGAATCTTTCTTCTCCGCCAACTTTCTAAGTTTGCAAAATGTGATGTTCTAATTACAGCATATTATGGAGTGATTTTCCCTCACCGACTCCAGAAGAGGGCAGTTAGGGCAGTCTTTGGTTTGAAAAGAAGAACATCTTGCAGACAATACTTTATTTCATCACAAATTTTAACATTTCCCTCAATATACATTTTGGAAACTTTGATTCTCATAAAAAAACTTACACCAATATCAATCTTCACTTACACATCCCTATTCACTACGTAACAATTCTCATCTTAAATTGCCATCTCATTCAACTACATTTTTCAAGAGACACTTTCATTACAATGGCATTAAACTTTTTAATCTCCTCCCTCCCTCCCTTCAGCTGGAGTCGGACTTGAACAGCTTTAAAAAGCAAATAAAAAAAATACTCTTGGCCAAGGGTTACTACAGTGTTCGAGATTGTGTCGCTGATGGGTTTAGTTAGTTAGTTTTTTTGTTGAAAGAAGTATAATTGGTATAGTTTTATTGAAGCACCATTGTCTATTGTTTATTTTAATTTTAGTTCTAAGCTATTAATTGACATGACCAATGCAAATTTTATATTTTGTTATTTTGGTTTAATAAATGAGTTATGAGAGTTATGAGAGGTTTTCTAGTCCGATTCTGGAAATGTATCCAGTTCATTCTGGACCGTATCGTCTTTTGAAACCAAATGCCTTAATCACAATTAGCAGTTGGATGGCTTAGATTACAAAAAATGTCGATTATAATAAAGACGAGACTGATCAGGATCATTTTAAAACTGTCAGTGAAATTGCGGAATCTAAGGTCATGTTTCAAACCTTCCTTACAAAGAAATATTATATCACGTGGTAATAAACAACTTTCCCAAAGCAGATTATTGCACATATCCGGTATACCTCAATTCTCCATATCCTTGTCCCCCAACAGTTCAGATTTTCTGAATTTGGCTGTTTTTGAATGTGGTAACCCAACCCTCCCCTTAAAAAAGTGATAATTGCACAGAGTACCTATAGGTTACCAATGTGTGTTAAAACAGTGCAAACCAATATTGCTATTAAATAAAGTCAAGAGGAAAATACAAATCAATTATTAATACATTAATTCAAACCCAAAATCCTATCCAGACTTACGACTAAATAACTTACTTCAGTAGTAATTCAAATTGCTAACAACTCATTCTAGTTTTATTTTGCATGTCTGAAAACACACTGCTTCATCTCTGACGTCCATAGTAACGATAGATTTTGTGAATGATATCAACATCAAATCCAGCAACTGTCATAAATAATTTGTAAACGATATCAACTGCACTTATCATACTTGCGTATTAGTAAAAAAAAAACTGTTTGTTAGTCATAATAAGAAGAATAAAACTATTCGGCTATCCTGATAAAACATTCTGAACAATTTATAGAATACCGTACCTTTATACCTAACGATTATCTTAGGTATCTTATTTTAGTGGTTAATCAAACATTTCCGTAATAGCCTATTAGAGACGTCAATAAATTCTCATAGGCCAATAGCTTGTTGGGGGAGGGAGTAGGATTACAGTAAACAGCTGATCAACAATGTAACCTGTGTGTGGAGGGGATCACCTGGTCAATACAGACACTTTGGCGCGAATCTCCGTGTCGGCTCATGGACCTTAACTTGTGGGTGAGTGATGTCGACTTATGTTTTTATCATTTAAAAAGTAAACTTTAAACACATTTTCACATGCATTAAACATTCTTCGTTTAGGTTCGTGGTGCGTTGTAACATTATTTTTCACGAGTACCGTAAGTTTGCTAAATAGTTCATAAGGCAACAAAATTTGAGAAACATTAAGTAATGAATTTAAATAATTTATCTTAATAGGCCTAAGTAGGTAAAATTAAAATATAAGATATAGTTTTAATTCAATTTGCACATGTCATAAAAATGTTTTGGCTCAGACTTTTCAATTCACTCAAATAAAAATCGAATTAAATTCAAACTCTAATTGGTTTTAAAATGTACTGGAAGGAATTTACGTTTTAGTTTTAATGAAATCAGAGAGGAAATCTCGTGAATTTAGAGCATGTTGTATCACAATAAATTATTTATTTATTTATAAGAGCTATTATTAGTTTCTTATAAGTATTTATTTTAAGTAAATTTTGGTAATTACAAGTAGGCCTACTGCTCATGATTTAAAAACAGTTTAAGTTGATGAATTTATTATTGTATATTTGGTTCGTTCATTACTATTCAAGCGAAGTAAAACGTACTTTTTACTCAATGTACATTTACAATAGTGGCTCTAGACAGCTGGACACATCCAAGGACGTTTAAATAAATCGATGTTACTTCTTTTGCCCTCTGCAACCCTAGCAATGTCTCTGATGAAAAATCGTTTCCGGTGTCTTTGCTTAGCGATTGGCGAGTTTTAGATAATCGGTTGGTTAAAAATAAACATAAAATCACACATTTTTTGAATTTTTAACAAAACGTACAGCAAATATAGATATATAAAATTACTCAATGTTTAGGGAATGAAATGCTGAATTCAGTACTAATAGAAATAATTATGTAGAAAATTAATGACAGAATTAATTTTGGATTTGTTTTTATCACTTTTACTTCACTTTTACTTTTAGAAAGTATTGTTATCGTCAAAATGTTCGAGTTTGAGTTTAGTGTAGACATATCCACCCGAACCCAAAAAAGGGGATTTCGAAGTGATGTCCCTCTGTGTGTGTGTGTCTGTATGAATGGATGTGTACAGAGCTACAGACCACACATGTAGTCCGATTTTGATGAAATTTGTTCCTAAGTCCGTGGTATCTCCAGGCGTATTTTTTTTATTTTGATTTTTAACGGGGATTTTTCATAAAAACCCATAAAGTAAAAGAAAATAGGATTTGCTAAACAATTTCCCGAACGATTTTGATAAAAATTTAGTATGTTATAGTCCTTTAAATTCTGAACAAAATGGTACAAATCTCATTTCCGTAAAAAATGCCGTTTAAAATCTATTGTAACTTTTTTATTTTCCCATAAAAACACCATATAATAACAAAAATACGGATTTTAGGAAAAAGCCAGTTTTGTTAAAAATTTATGTGTTATGGTCCTTATAATTCTAAACAAAATAGTGGACTTTCTGTAACAATTATGTTACGGTTCAACAGTTATTGCAACTTTAGCGATTTTACCCTATAAAATTATCATAGTTTCTCCCACCATGATAAAAGTTGTTGACAAGCTTATGGGAGAACGTATGTATCAAATTGCTGATACCGTTTATTATATTTTTAAGTTCGCCAAACACAGATGGTTAGCAGGCTTAGTCAGAAGGATGATTAGGTCCCTTATGATGGATGACATTGGCAATAGGATTACAGATAAGTTGGAATGACCCGTCTGGTTGATTAATATCGTCCCTTTGAAGTTGAATTAAGTAGATTAAAAATTAGGTCCTTTTTTTAAAGAATCGTTATCTATAACTACACTGCAGAGTAGTATACATTTCATTAATTTGTTTAAGTTGTTGTTTTTGAGAATAACTATTTCAATTCTTATACCAGCTATCAAATTCAGCCACATAAAACTGAAAAGACAACGAATTGTAAACTATGTATCAATAATAATCATAGTAAGAAAAAGTAATTGTACAAAAATACGAAAAAAGTACGAAATAATAGAAAATAAAAATAAATAGTGGAACACTTAATGAGAAGCTCATTTAATAATGGGACATGTTAAAACTTGCTAGGCCTACAACTGGTAAATTTATATCTGAATTCTTGAAAGTCAATAATATATCGCAATATTTGAAAAATAATTCCCATAAAACATAATGCAATAAAATACCCCTGACATGAAAAACGCGCAAAACAATTCAATATTTTAAACTGAATATTGAAAAATTACTATAGTAAAATAAATTATACAGTCCACAGCACAGCCACCCATGCCCAGTATAGTTGAAATAACATTAGTGTAAAGAGTATCTATGTTTGCTGCTAATTGGCACACAAGAATAGTTATTCCGATAAAATCTTTCAAACGTACACTAATATTCGTCGTATTCATGGAGCTATATTCACAAGCAAGTAATCCATAGCTACTATGTTAGGCTACTTAGCACAAAAATGACAATTAACATTAGATTTATGATTATTCTTTTATTAAAAGCGTGCAATGCAAATCTGACATGCTCAATTGTTTGTATTTTGTTCTAATTTAATATTGAATATTTTATCAAAATTGAAACAAATATTTTAAGACAGGATATCGTTCCTATTCGGACGCAATTAATGCACTTAATCGCAGTTCTTGGCTTCTGGAGACTTTTTACTAAATGTATAAAATATTTAATATTTTATACAATCATATTTGAAATTAAATATGTTTTTAAGTACAAAAAATAAATAATTTACTGGCCAAAGTACCATGTATGACACACATTATATTAGGGATTTTCGGAAGCACATAAAATACATTTTAGCCATCGATTATAGAACGATTGATATAACATAACTTAATCATCCTCCGGGCAAACTCAATTCCAGTCGCTCAACGCAGCATGTTAACGTTTGGCTAGGAACCACGGGTTTTAACTGAGCTGAATAAAACTAGATACGTTAAAAATGTGTATAGCAAAGAGTTTTGTGGCCAATTCTTTCTGGTCGACCATGGCTTTGGTAGCAACCCCATTCCTTGTACCGTAATGTTGGAAATGTTGTTTATTAAATAGTATAAGACACAGACTCTGTATTGAATAACTCTTCCAGTTTTGTAGGATTTGTAAAATGTTCTATTTTTGATTTGTCTTAGACTAGGCCATAACATGGACTATATTATGTTTTATCTATGGCCATACTGAGCCACCATATAGAGGTTTACTGCTATGTAAAGTAACTCGCACCAATTTCCACACCTCTACTTATTAGATTCAATTCAACATTAAACATTATTTAACAAATAAGTTCTAAATACAGAATGGAGTATTGTATTGTATAGTACAATCCAAATGATATACTTGTATAATTCTATTTTGGTTGATTAAATAATAAAAGCACATATAGTGATAATGATTTCGGACACAAACACTAAAACTGAAAGCAGTAGCAAAACCAGACAGTACATCCAGCTTCGGACTGTATGAGTATAATGGAATTCCGCCATAACAGTTAGGGCAACAGAATGTTGTTATTTTGGAAAATAAACAAGAAATACATTAGGACGACTCTTTTTCCCAATGTCATCCAAGCAATAATAATCTTGTTAAGATTTGTGATCGCCCTTTCCACTACGTTTTTTGGTTACAGGAATTAAATAAATAATTGGCAAATAAATGTGTAGCACGGTAAAGTTATAATCTTTCTTCGTTGATCGACGATTGTTTTTAAACATTAAGATTGCTTTCAATTCGAATACAAAGTTATTGTGAATACATTTCATAATTGGAATCGTGAAGAATCATCATTTACTTCTTTCACAACATAGTATGGCTACTTTTCACCCTATATGGAGTAATCATTGTTATCGTCAAAATTATCGAGTTTTGAGTTTTAGGTAAAAATATCCATTTGGGGAATCCTGAACAAAAAAACTTAAAACAAATATACATTATTTAGTATGTCTTTTGCTTTTGCTATTATACTAAGAACACAGCACAATTGTTAAAACACTTGAAAATTGCACATTGATTTTAAAAAAATACCACCTACCAATTAATTACCAATCTCCAAATAACCCTAAATAAAGTATGTCTACTATTGGATTTGTATTTTAAAGCTAGTTATTGAACAATTTTCATTTTATATAAAGTGTTTAGCTATTGCGTTTTTTCTACTTTTGATTGACGGTAACAGCTATACAATTGAAATCTAACGTACATTTATACTCAGGTTTAGGGAACATTACAAAGGAAACTAATGAAAGTAATCGTATGTCAAACACAAGGATTACAAACGGATGACTGATAGAAGGTGTAACATGTTAACATGTTAGGCGTAGAATTGGTTTACATACGAAACAGCTCTAATATTGGATCCAGTCTATTTATGTCTTATTTGATCGTGAATCAATCTGTTTTAAGTCATACATTAGTTTGGGTTCAAGATTACTATTTTCGTCAAGTGGTTTAGTATAACAATTGTGGATATTTATAGGTATGCACTGTGGATGGAATACTCCCTAATGTGGATTACCATCCGCACTAGTGAGTACTTTTTTTTTTTTTTTATTTTGTCCTAAGGACGCTAGGCACGAGCCTGGGATTGTTTTTCACATTACTTCAGGCTAGACCTAGGGGTTGCGGCATTATCACTTAGATAAAATCCATTGGTGACTTGGCGGGGATCGAACCCGGGACCTCAGGGACTGAAGTCCCGCGCTCTAACCACTACGCCAGCTCGCTCCCCCACTAGTGAGTACTACGACTATCCGAAGTACTATCCTGATAATTAGACCAATTCGTTAATACCAAGGCAAAAATGTGGTTCGGATTCCACTATAAATTGTAGGTCCCTTTTAGCTGCCATTATCTGTATGGGCTATCAATTAACGGCTGTGTCTGAGGAATATGTCGGCCTTTGTAGTTACTATGGTTACCATAGGTTCTGGCGCACACCGCTTGGAGCGCCGTGTAGTTACGTAGCGCTTAGGCCGTAACTATATGGCGCTCC